GGACCCACTTGAGTCAAACTAGATGAAGTCTAATTTTGTGGCTCCAATAAATTAATCCTACTAAGAAAGCACTTTCATCGTACTGTTTTTCTCATTAGTCATCAACATGTTGATTGTTTTTATAGAGTTAACAATTTTTTTCCCACATAAATAGTAGTTTAATAACACTTTTTCACCCACTTATAGACTTTCAAAGTACTGCTTTATTATTTAAATTTATATTCTAGCAGCAAATATAGAGCAAACTCGGTATCTAAATTGTTGAATCTTTTGAAGAAGAGAGGCGAATAAGTCTTTTGATGGTAGAATATTGGATTTTGATGACTGAGTTGGTTAGAATTTGACTTGGAAAGGGCAGTTGCGTAAACTCTAATCGCTCTATTGCCAGCGATTGACAAGGTCGACGGGAGTAAGATTTAAGGAGTTTTGGTGAGTGATGATTGGGAAAGAGAATGATGGTAGTGTGGGGTCATAACGATGTCGGAATGAAATATAAATTTAGTTAGTAAAGTGGTTTCTTAAAAGTCTGTATGTGGAAATGTGCCATTAAGTTATTATTTAGGTGGGAAAAAGTTGTTTACTTTGTTTCTGTATAAAAATAATTACAATTAACGATAAGACCCAATTTATGATCAATAATTATCACAGTAATTAACTTAAGAAATGAAGTCATTTTCTGATAAGATTCTAGTAATAATTTATGGAAAGGAAAACCCCAGCCACAATTAACAAGATGAAATGTTTAAACCGTTAAGTAAAGAATCTAACAAAATGACATTAAAAGTAGTCTAAATTCACATAAATTTAATTAAATTAAAGCTAAAAAATGAGAGAGAAGACAGTGGAAGTATTATAATGGAATGTTCCAATTTGGTACCTGTCTCCATATGGCTCAATGAATTCGACCAACCAATTAAGATGGTTGAATTGCAAAAGGAAATCATCCATTTGATTGATTTATTTATCTTTATAGAATCTATATGGATGGCAAAAGTGGAGAAGGCTAGCTGCATAGAATCCTTTTTCAATAGTAATGCTGTAAAGCTAGCCATGATAGTGGCATCAAATAAATCGGGAAGCCCACGCCACTACTGAATGCTCATTTTTATATTTGCCAGAGAAGAGAGGTTGAAATTCTAGGGATTTTGGGACTTTAAGATATTCCATTCTTATTTATGCGATAATAATAAATTAATAATCAATAAAATTACACTTACAACTTTTTTATACAACTCTAAGATAGCAATTTGCGATTGGTCAGTTTACATTTGGACAGACATGACCTACTGTGAGCTGATCAATCGCGAGTTGCCACATCAGCGTTGTATAAAAAACTTGTAAGTGTAGTGCTGCTCATTAATAATAATAGCTCTCTTATCTAAATTTACCGTGCAAAAAGTTGCTACATCTTATTAATTAATTTATGGAAATGGGTATTATTATTATTATTTTTTTTTTTTATGACGAGGTATCCGTGTTAGCTTACATGCACCTGAACTAATCCTTCAAGACTTTAAAACTACTAGACGAGTAAGAATTCTAATGACTATCCTATTAGCAACTAAGAATGAACTCGAACTCAAAACCTCTTGAGTAATACACCCAAAAGTCTCTATCGAACAACTCAATCACCCAGAGATAGTTAAAAATAGGTATATTTAAAACAAGCTTTTTATGTTGATTTTATTGACTAATTTCATAGCCACAATATATTTTGACATAATAATCACCGTTATATATGGATTTACTATCATCATTTCTCAAAGAAAAGTAAGAATCCTTTTCTTGGATACAATGTATCCCACCTAAAAAAGAAAAAGAAAAAAAAGTAGCATAATGAGACCGATAGACATATTATTTGAGAGTGTTTTAAACGCTATTAAAAACACTTTGGAGAATATATTTGAAGGGTTATAATGTGTATGAAAGTTTTGTGTGTATATGATATTATTCTATTTTTTTTATATATCATGTGGGTCATATGCCTTTCTTATTCCACTGAAATTTTACAAAGATAAAATGAACATATCTTATATACGTCACTCCTTAATTAATTAATAACTACCTTTATATCTTATCTCGTCTTACTTACAGTCTTCTCTCTCTAATCAAAATTTTACCTAATTATGTTCCAAATTTGAATCTCCTTGTCAGAATTTGATAGGACACGAGGTAATTGAAGAGGATCCAAGTATGCCCAAGAGATATACTTTATACCATATATATCAAAGTTTGAGTAGACAAGAGCGGCAAAGAAAAGAGACTGTTGAAGTATGCCTGAGAGATATCTTTGAGAGGGCAAGAGAAACAACTGAAATTGTCAGAGTATGCGCAAAAGATATCTTTAGATGAAGTTAATTTAATTATTTTGAATTGTAAATATATCACCTATTTATACAAAAGTTTAGCTATACAATAAAAAAAAACATAATATTGCAATAATGTGTATAATCTCCTAGAATAAAGAAACACATTATTGTTTCACACTTAAGGAAACATAATATTGCCATAATGTCTATCATCTCCTAGAATAAGAAAACACAATACTGTTTCACAGTTAAAGAAACATATAATTTGCATTACATTTATTGCTCTTCTATTGTGTATAGGTTTATCTTTGTGGTAGGACTCTCTTCCTTCGCATTGATCTTCATCTCCATTAATGCAAATATCAAGATATCGTTTTAGTTCATATATTGTTTGATTATGTTATGCCTAAAAAATCAGGGCTAACATAAACTGATATCAATGAGCATCAATCATACTTTAGGAAGTTTTTGCACTATCCAGAGTCTGTCATGTCATCTAAGACAGAGAGAATATAGTTGTCAACAACCCAGCCGACTCAAGCTTTGTCTGTGAATAAATTTGGTTCGCACACATGTCCAAGCCCCATTTAATTTAAGGATATTTCTTAAGTTCTCATCCAATGGGAAGGCAGGAGGGATTTGCACGATATCAACCCACTTACAGATATGTAGTCATTATCTTGAGCCTAGCAGGTATAAAGAGGTAGCTTCCCCTCACAAAATCGGGATCAGACACTCAGAATTCAACAAAGCAAATAGCAAAGACACCCTGCGAGAAAGAAACTAACTTGATATTCTCTAAGTACACTTAGAACACCAAGCACCTGTAACCCAGATCGCAGTTCGCGACCTTTTGTAATCTTGGCTAATAATCAGGAACTCATTCATATAAAAGAAAATAATAGATGTATGATTCACTTTAAGCATTTGAACTACTGTAAAACTCTTATTGTTTCATTTACTTTAAGTTTTTCCATGCAACTGCAACAGCAGTACTCTGTACTTAACTCTCATAATTGTTCACATATAATTTCTAAGATCTCTCTTAGCATTTTGCACATACGAGGTCATTAGTGTCAAAATCAAGCATCAACAAATTGTTTCATGGATCTTTACGTTTTTTATTCTATTTGTATTTAAGTTTTTTAAGAGATAAAGCCTTTGAGTCCCTTAGTTAAGCCATTGTTTTCTTAAGAAATTTTTCTTGTATCATCTAATTAAGTTTATAAAAGAGTCCAAAATTTGAAAAGCTTCCTCATAAAATACTATACTCGAAGATTTATATATCATCACATCTATATGTAGTAGAAATATGGTTTCACATTTTTTTTTTTATTGGTAACTGGGTTGTACACGTGAGCTTGTGTGCACTTTAACTAATCTCTAGTATCACAGATTAAGAGTTTCACACCCAAAAGGCTAACCTATTAGATGGAGGGACTTTTCTCTTTTATAAGCCCAAAACCTCCCCAATACGTTTCCAATGTGAGATTCGTTACATTCTTTCCCACCCAATCATGTGATGCCCTCGTTACAGGTGGGGCCCCCTACCTGGCCGTCCACCTCACTCTCGTGTAGACCCACAATCACAAGTAGATGCCTCTGCATAGACGTTTGGCGAGACATCGAAAGACAAATCGGGTCCGTTCTGATATCACTTGTCACAAGCTAGGAGTTTCACACTAAAAAAGCTAACCTATTAGGTGGAGGGATTTTTCTCCTTTATAAGCCTAAAACCTCCCCAATACGCTTCCGATGTGAGATTCGTTATATTCTTCTCACCTAATCTTGTGATGCCCTCGTTACAAGGAGGGCCCCTTTGCCTACATGTCCACCTCACTTTCGTGTGGATCCACAATCACACGTGGATGCCCCTACTTGGGTGTTTGGCAGGACATCGAAAGACAGATCAGGTCTGCTCTAATATCACTTGTCACAAGTTGAGAGTTTCACGCCCAAAATGCTAACTTATTAGGTGGAGGGATTCCCCCCCTTTGTAAGCTTAAAACCTTCCCAATACGCTTTCGATGTGGGATTTGTTTCATTAGAGTCCATTAAACACTTTACAAATCCAAAAGACTAGGTAAGTCACAAAGTGGTAGATAACCCTAAGGTTTGAATCTATAAACTCAATGTATGGAGCAAACCTCCTTGGCCGTTAGGCCAATCCCTTTGGGGCAATTTCACATATTAACAATAACAATTATTATTAACCTCATAATATAAGTACATAAATTTTATATACAAACTAACATGACATTAAATACATAATATGTACGCAATAAATATTTAATAAATGAAGATGAATGATATAATAATAAAGTAATAATTCTATATTAATTCATATCCAAGATTTTACCTTAGTTCAATAGTTTAGTCTAAGGTAATTTATATGTAACGTTAAATTCCATTATAAAAAAAAAAGGTAATGGCTCCACCCAGATTCCTATAAAAATTAATTAGTCATAATTAAGCTACAAAAAGTGTTCTCTAGGGTCCACCATAAACACTTAAATCAATTTTTGTTAACAAAATTAAAATAATAATAATAATAATAAACACACCCAACTCAACACAAAAAGGAAGTGACCATTTTACCCTTGTAAAATCAAATAACAACAACTGCTCAGTAACTACCGCCAACCACATGTCTCTCCCTTTGTTTGCTTATAAATTCACAAGCAATGCTTCACTTCCTTCCCCAAGAATCACCATTCCTCCATTCATTCATTCACACTTATCTTTTTACACTGAAAAATGGGTGTAAATTCAAACAGAGTTGAGGATTCATCCAGCCCCAGCGATAATAATACTAATGAAACCATTATCAGAATCTCTTCAGAGTTGTCAACAAGGCAAACAATGGAGATACACAATGTTTGCCTGCCACCCCAGAAGACCACTTGCCAAAAACTCAAGCACCGTTTATCAGAAATCTTCTTCCCTGATGACCCTCTCCACAGATTCAAGAACCAGGAATGGTGTAAAAAACTCCTTCTCGGGCTTCAGTTCTTCTTCCCCATTTTCCAGTGGGGGCCTCAGTATAATCTCAATCTCCTGAGGTCTGATGTCATCTCTGGTCTCACCATTGCAAGCCTCGCCATCCCTCAGGTAACATAACATAACATGCATGCGCCATACATACATACATGCATGATGTTATGTATGCGTGTGTGTGTTTTTATGATGTTAATGGTATTTGTTTTTAATAGGGACAAAGGACTCTGAGTTGGGTTACTGTGTATATTCCGTTTGTCTTGGATCATTAGAGTGGCGGTTTCTTATATTTCCTTCATCAAATTTGTTTTCTTGTAATTATATATTGACTAAAAGCATCTGGGGTTTAACCTTGGTTCCTGTGTTTGAACCTCGTGATGAATTTCAGTTTACTGACTTTTTAGTTTTCACATTTTGCATCACATGATGAAAATTCAGCTTGAAGCTAAAACTTTTATGTTTCTTCAATGCAGGGAATCAGCTATGCAAAGCTTGCAAATTTGCCTCCAATAGTTGGACTCTGTTAGTATCAATCTCATAACACTAGTTTTAAATACTGATTGTGCTAATGCAAACTGTAATTAACTAGTTATATCAGTAAATTTATGAACTGGGATGGTTTATACATACAGATTCAAGCTTTGTGCCTCCATTGATTTACTCTATTCTGGGGAGTTCTAGACATCTTGGTGTTGGTCCAGTCTCTATAGCTTCTTTGGTTATGGGATCAATGCTTCAAGAGGCTGTTTCCTACACTCAAGATCCAATTCTATATCTCAAACTGGCCTTTACTGCCACCTTCTTTGCTGGTGTGTTTCAGGCATCTTTAGGTCTACTAAGGTATCGAATCACGGAAATTTCCGCAAATTAATGTTTTGCTTTGACCGTTTACTGGGTGAAGATGATCATCATGTCAAGCATAATAGAAATTGGTCCTGAAGAAAGACCGAAAAGCCTTAAAAGTTGATTTCAGTTAAATGGTTTGCAGGCTAGGCTTTATAATCGATTTTCTTTCGAAGGCAACACTTATCGGCTTCATGGCTGGAGCGGCAGTCATTGTATCATTGCAACAACTCAAAGGATTGCTTGGAATTGTTCATTTTACTACCAAGATGCAATTTATTCCTGTAATGTCCTCTGTTTTCAGCCACAGAGATGAGGTTAGTGGCTTTACTGAAAGCAAGCAATATGCCAACTTTTGGTATCATTTTGGGAGTACTGTTGTTGATTTTCTACGCCATGTTTCTTTTTTAAATGAATTCTAGAAACTCAACTGTCGAAGTGTTAATTCAACGGCTGAAATACAAAGCTAAATGAGTAAAAGTTGTATGTGCAGTGGTCCTGGCAAACTGTTGTATTGGGGTTCAGCTTCCTGGTTTTTCTATTGTCAACAAGGCATATTGTAAGTGTCTTTTTACCTGCAAAGTTAATTACCCAGATTCTCATATTATTCTCCTAACGTTTATTGATGTCTCATCTTTTAACGATTCGGCACAGAGCATGACGAAACCAAAGCTTTTCTGGCTATCGGCAGCTGCCCCATTAACATCAGTTATTCTTTCAACTCTTTTAGTCTTTTGCATCAAATCAAAGGCTCATGGAATCTCAATTGTAAGTCCTGAAAACTTGTTTACATTTTCCTTTACATAGATTACAAAAGGGATCCTGAGACAAGTCTCTGGTGCAACCACTAATGCAAAAAATTCTTCTACAGATCGGCCACTTGCCAAAGGGTTTGAATCCACCTTCCTCAAACATGTTATACTTTAATGGCGCTTTCCTGGCTGTAGCTGTCAAAACTGGCCTTGTTACTGGGATCCTTTCTCTCACTGTAAGTTGCCAAAACTAGCACTGAAATCTTTGATGGCTTAGTCAAGATTTACTTTCCATATGAGTATTTTCAAGAACTTGCCTTATTTCATGTATAAATTTCACTCTTTCATGGCTTAGTCAAGATTTACTTTCCATATGAGTATTTTCAAGAACTTGCCTTATATCATGTATAAATTTCACTCTTTCTAAAATTTAAATTATTTATTTTGTTCAGGAAGGAATTGCTGTGGGAAGGACATTTGCTTCATTAAAGAATTACCAAGTTGATGGCAACAAAGAAATGATGGCTATTGGTTTCATGAACATGGCTGGTTCATGCACTTCATGCTATGTTACCACAGGTGACGATCCACTGTTCATTTCACCATCTGATTTTCATGTCGATACGGTTTTCATAATTTCTAAACATGTTGTGTTCCGGCTACTCTTCCAGGTTCATTTTCTCGATCTGCTGTTAACTACAATGCCGGAGCACAAACAGCAGTTTCTAATATAGTAATGGCTTCGGCTGTGCTTGTGACGCTGCTGTTTCTCATGCCATTGTTTTACTACACTCCCAATGTCATCCTGGGAGCCATCATTATAACAGCAGTGATAGGGCTTATTGATTATCAGTCCGCATACAAATTATGGAAAGTTGACAAGCTTGATTTCATAGCTTGCTTGTGTTCCTTCTTTGGGGTTCTTTTCATTTCTGTGCCCCTTGGTCTCGCCATCGCAGTAAGCTTCCATTCTTAAATTTTTCCTTTTTCTCGTTGTTGTACTGCACTCTTGGGTCATTATCTGATGCCTTTGCCGAAAAATTCAGGTCGCAATTTCAGTGTTCAAGATTCTCTTGCATGTCACCAGGCCAAACACAGTGGTCCTAGGCAACATTGCAGGAACTCAAATATACCATAGCCTCAGCCGATACAGAGATGCTCAAAGAGTCTCTTCGTTTCTAATTCTTGCTGTTGAATCTCCCATTTATTTTGCCAATTCCACTTATCTTCAAGATAGAATATTGAGATGGGTTCACGAGGAGGAAGAGTGGATAAAGGCAAACAATGGGAGAACACTAAAATGCATAATTCTGGACATGACTGGTAAGTTGTTTAATTGCTCTTCGCAAATTTCCCATCATTTCCACTTGGAAAGTCTCCTGTGCAATTAGCTTACAGATTTTCTCTTTCTTTTGCAGCTGTGACAGCCATAGACACAAGCGGTATTGACATGGTGCGCGAACTAAGAAAGATGCTGGAGAAACGATCGCTTCAAGTAAGAACTGCTAAAAAAAATTAACTCTTGGAATGCCACATTCTTGAAGCATTTTAGCTAATCTTGGTGCTCTTTCTTTGCAGCTTGTGTTGGTAAATCCTGTTGGAAGTGTGATGGAAAAGCTGCATCAGTCAAAAGTTTTGGAGTCCTTCCGACTGAACGGCCTCTATCTCACAGTTGCAGAAGCTGTGTCAGACATTTCATCTTTGTGGAAGGCTCATGCATGAATGAATTCTACAAGGCTGCGGTTGAAAGTTACGAATAATATAAAAGAAATGAAAGAGAGTAACTGACAACTTTAAAACCTTGGCAGTCTAGGAAGAATTCTAAAGAGCGGGGAACTTTGTTTTCTTTTTTTCTTTGTGAGATACATTGTTTAACTTAAAAAGTTAATGGCCATTGGCCATGCTCTTCTAAGAAGAGATTTTGAAGGTTCACAAATCTCATCTTAACTTAATGCAAAGTCTGGCCATGCCATGACGGGAGCTTAGTGTAACCGAAACAAAGTAATGAATTTTCATTTTATTTTAATTTCATGTTAATATCAAAATGTTTTAATTCTCTCTTTTCTCCAATGAAATCAGAATACTACAGCAATCTTAAAGCTAAATGCTGCACAATATTAAAACCTGAACTATGTTGAGGCAACCACAAAATCCTTCTTGGTTTATTGTTCGTCGTAGAAGATATATTTCAAAATAAAATTGGCATATTTTATAAAAATAAAGATGAACACAAGTGAAGGAAACATTCAGTGCTGAAGGCTAATGATTTGATGTGATTTGATGTAAATGTGGCAACAGGCAGTTGCTGAAAAAAAAAACCACTTACTCTAGAGAAGGGCACAGCTGAAATGAGATAATGGGCAGATAAAATAATCTGAGATATGGCATCTTTTGATGATGATGACTTAAAGTCCTTTACATATGTTAGCATGGGTGCCACTGCCACATGTGGTAATAAATGAATCAGCAAGCAATGGCTAAAATTGAAGTCAAAGGCAGCCTGAAAACAAGCAACAGGGCTAAAAGATAAGGAAGATAGAAGGAAGATAAGTTTATAATTCAGAGGATATGGCCTCCGATTAACTTGACAGACACAACCACGAAAAACAAGAAAAAAGAAAGGACTTGGCAGTCTTGCAGCCAAACCAAGAAATTCAATACAAGGCTTCAATAAGGTGGGCTGATAAATGGAGTAATAATGGTGTAAAGATGACAGGGATAGCAGAAAATAATCTAAAATGTGAAGTACATATTCAACTACAAATGTATATTTCTTGTATATTATAAAGGAGCCACACAAGTTTTATCCTAAAACTGTGATCATCAATACAATTTGAAAGAAAAGCCAGAAATTGCCCAAAAATTAAGAAAAGCAAGAAGCCAATATCACTAAATTAAAGCTCTCTGAGATCAGATCTAACATTCATCTTGTTCTCCATGCCACTAACAAAGCATGATGCCTTGGAATATATATTCCATGCTATATGAATGTGATTCGTTTAAAAGAGTTCATAGCTCCATAACAGAAAAACATGACGGGACCCTGTGCGTCACTCCATTTTGCTGACTAACCCACACTGTCCAGCATTGAGTGTGTGACAAATTTGGTATAAAACTCTTTTGTGCAAGTAGGGAAGCGGTTTTCCCTTGACCGCCCCAGGCCCTTAAATAAATGACCAGCAAGTGCATGTGTGCTTTTGAGAGAGACACCGCTGAGATCAACAAGGAGTATGACTAGCCTTCAGCAACCAAAAGGAAATTAACTATAAAGTTGCAGGACGTCAACCAACTTAGTAGAGCGTAGACCAAACGCAAAATGTTGCTAAAGTCGACACAATTGGAGGAAAAAACCTTAACCAAATTTATAATCAAATTTTAGTTTAGGAACCCTATATATTCTCCTTAGAAAAATAGCAAAAGTGCCCCATTCATTCACATAATGGGAAACTCAACATTGATATTATCAAAAAAATAAAAAAAATGAAAAAACCTAATCAACTACACAAATTACTGTAAACAAGAAAACAGTATGAGAAGCACATCCTCTTTCTCAAAATCACCTATAATTGTACATTACCAGTTTCCTAACACAATACATACCAAGTCTGACGTGGTCCATCAATCCATCAAATGAACACCAACTCAAACTTCTTCTATTGCCCTCCCTCATCCCCACATGCATAGAAATATAATCACAGGTTTAAACAATTTTTTTTTTGGTCACAGATTAGATTGGTATCTAATGAGCTTTGCTCCTTCGAAAGCAGTGAAGAAACTGCTGCTGCAATCCCAGAAGAAAATTGTTCTGCATATTGAGTTGTCCTTGTGATTTAAACATCTGCATGAAGTGGACAAATTAGTTCAGCTGATACAAAAGCAATTATGAAATTATAAGAGAAAAAGAAAGGACAGGCAACTGCTGTTGCTTTTTGAAATTTAATTCAAAAAATTAAAGCAATTAAAAGCCTCAAAACTGTTTAGCACGCACAAGATCTTCCACAATGTTATGAACCAAAAACAAGAGTGAAAGAAAAGATCACCAATCTAACATAAACTTGAAAAAGATTAGCACTAGCATTTCTTCTCTTTATTAACTGAAACACAGAACTGTTTTCCATTTATCTATTTTACTATTTCAGGAATCAATCTAAATTATTTGCTTGAATAAAGTTCAGGCGCAAACAAATTGGAGGGTTCAGACATTCCATTTTAGCATTAACTTCAAAGAAAATAATTCAAAAGTTGGAGAGCAAATGCCAGTATCCAGCAGAGCATAGAGATGAGAGCAGGCAGCATGGCACAGAACATATGAAGTTATAAGACTCACACCCAAACAACATTCATTGCAACAAAAATGAGTCAAAAGCCTCTATTAATAAATTTGGAAATTAAAAAAATAAAAAAATAAAAAAAAAGATATGAAAATACACATGGAAAAAAAATATAATAAAGAATAAAATTTCCACACAAGATTGCTTGAAGTAATCAATTTAACTTATAATGAAAAAATTTCTTACTTGCTCTGTAGCGTGTTATAGGAATCTCTCGCAGTTCACGTCTAATGCATAGATATTCACCTAGCAAAGCCATCACTGCAAGTCCAGTGCCATTAACAACCCACCACGTGATTGAGGAGGGCCAACCCCCATATGTGATGCATATAAAAAGATGGATGATGTACAGAGTTGCTGAAAAATCTAAGCACTTCTTTGCCCTCTCAACTATATAAAGCATATATCCAGCCCTGCACAAACAAGAGTAACTCGCATGTTAGTTAAACAAGCAACCATGGAGATTGGAAATTTCAAATATGAATCTGTAAAACTAACATGATTCAGGGTCTTTTTTTTAATTTCCATGAACATAAATGCAATAAGTGAAATATGGAACAAGTAATAAAATAAAAATTGATAGTTAAATCTAAACAATTAGCCATGTCTTCTGGCATAAAATAATCCACACCGGATACTGAGGTAGAATGAGCAATTGGTCTCTCAAATAGCAGATACATACACAATGAAAAATGCATTGACAAGGAAATTGTCAAGATGACATTAAATAAATTTAACTAATCCATCTATTCAATCCAAAATACTCATCGTACAGTTAAACAAACTCATTTAACTATCCGTTTTGCATTATACCACACAGCAACTTAAGCAATTAACAAATTAATGAACACCACGTAAAATCAGAACATCATAAATTCATTAATTATCCCTGACAATGGAACCATACAATTTCACATTATAGTCACCTAACATAAATCATTTACAAAGATAAATTAAAGCAAAAGGATTTATATTCTCACCCAGCAACCGAGGCCAGCAGAATCGAAGCAATGACACACCAACCGGTGACCGTAGAGGCAGTGATGGTAGCAAAGTCAAAGAAATACACAAGACTCATCCGCGATGCCCGAGTGCCAACGAAAATGGATAAAAATACACCAAGACTGGTATAGTATAGGCATTGAAGACAAACAATTTGGGCAACGATTAGCCAGGGATCCCATACAACTGCACCATAGAACATTTCTTCAACCACCACTTTTAAAATACCAGATCAGTCAAAACTACAAAACTGCCGCAACTCAATTCTTTAAACCAAAATTCAACTAAAATCTTCAATACCCAGATCACCAGAAGTTACAAGAATGCGACCAAAATATTCTTCAAACTAAAATCTTCAATACCCATATCACCAAAACCTAGAAATATGCCACCAACCAAATAACCAGAACCAAATTGTCAAATCTAAACAAAAAAAAAAAAAAAAATCCAATTTTTGAACTATTTTCTATTTCGCTTCAAACCCTAACTTCAAAAAGAATTAAACTTCAATGCTAATTAAAGCATTTAAGCTGAAACCAAGTTTGTTTAACGGAACTGGATCTGGGAAATCAAGAAATTTGGAGGAAAAGGATCAACCAAATCTGAAGGGCAACAAAAACACAGACTGTCAAAAAGAAATGGAAAATTAGAACAAAAATATTGTATCAGATTTGTGTTAAATTGAGCAAGAGATACTGGGCATGAGGAGGCTTTGTCGAAAGAAAGATTGGATTGAGGAGCGAGCAAAAAGGCTATGCAACATTAACCAAAAACATACGTACAGGTAATTAATTAGTAAAAGAAAATGGTATTGGATTTAGATTTTACAATACCTGAAAATTTTGTTCACCTTTTTTGTATCTGAAGTGACAAGTCTCAACAATTCGCATGTTTGTCATGTTCGTTAAATATTGTATGCGTTTGGTTTAATATTTTTATCCCTATTCTGGATCCTATTTTTCAAATCGCGTTTGGTACAATATTCTCAAAATATTACCCTATTTTTTTTAATTACATTTTAACCCCATAAGGTTATTAATTTCACTAAATACCCCCTGAAAAAAAAGTTTAAAATTAACAAAAACACCCCCATCAACCCAACTTGTCAGATTCCGGCAACCACCGTCGGTGATAGCCGGAATCTGTACAACGGCCAAACTTCCGACCAGAAATGGCCGGAAGTTCACCGCTGTGGCCTTTTCCGGCCAGATCCACAACGGATCTGGCCGGAAAAGGCCAGATCTGGCCGTCAGCGACGGCCAAAGAAATGGCCGTCGTTGACGGTCAACGACGGCCAAATCTTGGCCGTCGTCGATCGAAAACGACGGCCACATCTTTGGCCGTCGCTGACGGCCAAAGATGGCCGTCGTTTGGCCTTTTCCGGCCGTCGACGGCCAAAACAAACCATAGATCTGGCCTTTTCCGGCCAGATCTACCATGGATCTAGCCGGAAAAGGCCATAACGATGTGTTACGGCACAGATCCGACAAGTCTGTGCCGTAACGAAATTTTCCGGTCAGATTCCGGCGGTGGTGGCCGGAATCTGACACTGCAGTGGTGGGGGTGTTTTTGTCATTTTACATGTTAGGGTCTTTAGTTAAATTAGTAAACCTAAGGGCTTTTTTATAAATTTTTAAAATTTACCTCGTAATACTCCCATATCCAATAACCCAATACTACCCTTAAAATCCTATCCAAAATACTAAACCAAACGCACCCATTATTTTTTTAAATTACATTAAAGCCCCTTACACTTTATTTAATTATAATAGATCTTATTGGTTAAAAAATTGACATTTACGGACAATATCTCTTATGACGAGGATTATATCTGGTAGCGTTTGGTTTAAGAAATATTATATTATTAAGAATATTATATTAATGAAAAGATAGATTATTTTTAAGGTTAATAGAGAACGTTATATTAATATGTTTGGTTAGATTGGTGGGTATAAATAATTAATGTGTTTGATTCAGGGTATAAATAATTAATATATTTGGTTGGAAGAAATAAATATTATCGGAGAGGCTTTTACTGAATTACTCTTCTTTTTTAATATTATTATTATTTAGAGTGGTACTTTTAACCTCTTATATTTAAGAATTTAGCGAAAGCATCCTAGCTATAATAAAAGTATAAAATTTAACAAAATACCTCTAGCCACCCAAGATGATTGTCGGCCACCACTGCCGGCTGCCACCAACAATCACCAGAACAATGCACAACTGACCAAATCTAGCCGGTTGTGTGTTGATCTAACCGTTTCCAACCAGATCCATAGACAGAAATGACAGCATTTGGGCTAATTGTTATTTGGTAGACATATGAGGGCATTTGTGTCCAAAATGATTATTAATTAAGGGCAAAATTGGTATAAATAGTGGATTACCCCAGTAATAAAAAAATAACACCCTTCCAATCGGTAATCGGATTATCCCCCATATTACTTACAGTAATCACTGTTGGTATTGAAAAATTACCGAAATTTTTTATTACTCGGTGCCAACCGATGTTAACATATCTATTTCCAAATATCAAAAATTGATTTGGTTTATTTTTCAACTAGGTTCAGTTGATAATTAAACTGAATTTGGGGTTCGAGACTATGTTTGACCTTTCTTGTTTCATTTTTTTCATGACCATGTGAAAATTATTTTTTTGGGTAATCAGTGTGCTAGCTTTCACGCATCTCAATTAATCTCTGAAGTCTATTGAACACCTTACAAGCCCAAATGATCAGGTAAACCACAATGTTATTGTGGTAGGTGGACCCTAAAGTTTGAACCTAAGAACTCAAGTAAGGGAGCAAACCTCCTTGACCGTCAGACCAACTACTTGGGGTTAACCATGTGAAGATTATTGACTGTTAGTTGGTGAACATTTTTTGATTTGAGATCAAAGCTTCATAGGTTTGATTCAAATTGTGGTCACAATCAAAGTGATTCATCTTCCAGCAACTACTTCAAGTTGTTGAAGGGGGATCAATCAGTTGCTGCTGTGGTCAGTACTAGTGTTTTTCGGGACAGTTCCAATTGCCAATCAAAATTATGTACTCATTTTATAGCATTCAACTGGAAAATCATATTTGTCACTTTTCAATGTTGAGAACAAACTATTTGAACAATGTTATGGCATACTTCAAAACCAGAAAAGAATAAGATCATGCAGAATTGACTCCTCAACTTAGATAGTATACAAGAAGATAATGAGAAGAAAACTCAGGTAATCTCATTCCTCGATTAACATTTATACAATGATCATATAATAGCACTGAAAATTTGTCGAAAAAGCAAAAGCTCGGAAACAAGTTTCATAGATGACATACGAACATACAATATCGAGAAAATATTAAATGAAAACTGAATGGTCCAGAGTTTCATTCTGAACTAGCCTTTCTCCTCCTCCCGGTTCTCTTTGCAGCAACAGTGACATTATCTTCGTCATCAGAATTTGATAAATCATCCTTTCTCCTCCTGCCAGTTCTCTTTGCAGTATTAGTATCATTATCTTCATCATCAGAATTTAATGAACCATCCTTTCTCCTCCTACCAGTTCTCTTTGTAGTGTCAGGGAAATTGTTTTCTTCTTCGCTTTTCTGAGGATGTTGATCATTTACAAGAAGCTTGGATGAATTTATTTTACTCCTTAACCGCAGTACTTCACCCTTAGCAGATCCCAATTCCTCTTCAAGTTTTTTTGCTTTCTTGTCCAAACTGTCCCTTTCTTGGCCAAGCCTCATGACAAGATTATGGGCATCTTCCATGTTTTCTCGGGCTTCTTGAGCTACGTTCTTTTGCTCTGTTAGGGACTTGTAAAGCACCTCTTTCTCATCTTTGAGACTAGAAATATGAGAATTAGCATTATCTAGGTCTCTAGAAAGTGTCAACACATTTCTGTTCATGTCATCAAGTGATTTGGTAGCCTCTTCCAGATCAATTTCAAGGGACTTCCGTGCCTCCTTGTCCTTCAAGATTTGCTTCTCCAAAGCTTGTAGTTCATTGTTCAAAGAGGCAACAACATTTTTCTCTTCTTTCAAATCATTGGCTGTGGCTTCTGCTTTCTTATAAATGTCTACCAGTTCCTTTTGTAGGCTATTACGATTTTCAGTTGCAGCAGCCAGTTGATGGGTCACAATTTGCAGCTCCTCACTAGTCTTCTTCAAAAGCTCCTTCGATGCAGTGAGCTCACTGGCTAGCACTTCACTACTTTGTTTTGCCTCATCAAGGCTTTTCTGAAATGTTTCCCTAATTTCAGCAAAATCAGCTTTCACCCTCGAAATTTCGGACTCAAGCTCTGAGCACAAATTTGTTGATTGTACTAGTTGATTTTCCAGATCAGAAGCCTCATTCCTCGTCTTGCCAAGAGTCTCCTGAGTAGTTGCGAGTTCATGTTTGAGATTTTCTACATTACTCAATTCCACATCCAGCATTTTCCTCAAGTCATCCTTTTCTTGGGTCAACTTAGCAATTGTTGTTTGACTTCCACGCACTTCATTCTGAGCAAGCTCATGCTTTTCCTTCAGCTCATGAAGTTCCTCTTCTCTTTCTCCCAATAGCTTTGCCTCAAAAGCTGCCTTCTTTTCAGAAGATAACTTCAGATCATCATACTCCTTTTGAACATCATCAATTTTCCTCTTGGAATCATCTGTCTCAACTATTAAAGAACTAACCGTTGCATTTAATTCATCCACCAAAGTACTCCTCAATTCTAGTTCTTTTTTATTTTTCAAGAGTTCATCCCTCAATCCTTTGACTTCTGCATCTGCTTTGGCTAGTTCATCCTTGGTCTGCTTGTAGATAGAATTCAAGTTCTTCAACTCCATTTCCTTCTCAGCAAGAGAAGATCTGAACTGTTGAACACTATCATTCTTATCTTTTAGCTCTAAACTGAGTAAATTAACCCTGTCTTGTAAGGCTTCGATTGAATCAAGCTTTTCCTTGAGTTTTTCTTCAAGTGCACTTTTATCTTCCCCAGCCTTCAAGAGACTGGATTGAAGACTATCAATTTGTACTTTAAGCTCCTCAATCAATTTTTTTTCATTTTTGAGCTCCTGCCCTAGGCCTGTAATTGTGCTGTTAGCTGAATTTAGTTGATTCATTAAAACCTGCTGTTCTTCCTTCGCTGTTTTGAGTAGCTTTGTTCGCTCTTCTTGTTCTTTTTGTAGTTTAGACTCAAATTCTTTCTTCAATGACAAAATGGAAGCTTCCTTTTCACTGAGTCTGTTTTTCATCTGTGCATTTCAAGCAGTGTATGCTGGGTTAAAAACCAACATCCAAAAATGACATTCAGATAGAGTGATATGGATAATTTAGGAATCCATAGAGCAGATAAAATCATGCTAGTGAATTCAGCTCGTGATAAAAACTTGACAATAAGATTAAGAGCAGCTTACAGATTCTATAGTTGCAACAGATGCTTTTTTATCTTTCTGAGTCAAAGCATAAAGTGGGGCAAGCACAGCAGTCCCAAATATTCCAAGTGCATTAAGAAAAGAAAGAAAGGGATTTGATGGTGGATCTCTTTGAAGTGCCAGCTGATCAAGAAAAGAAATTCATTTAGGTGTTTCAAACTTGACAAACTAAAAATAACAGAACCTAGGATTCTGGATTCATTTACAAACGAGCAAAGATTAAGACCTCTGATTTTTGGCTTTCCACTGGTGTATTTAGCACACTTTCCTCTGTAAGGACATAAATAAGCATATTAAACATCTAGGAGATTTAAAAGCAATTCAAAATAACTAAAGTTATAATAGAAAAGATAGAGTAGTCCACCGAAAGGACCAAAAAGAGCCAGAACCTTAATTGGTGATTTAAATGGATTAACAAAAAAAAAAAAAATGGATCTAAGCTCATGCAATACTTCAACTCATAAAAAGAGGGATGAGTACCCTGAAAATCACTGGGCAATATAGAAACAATCTTGAAAAGTTTTAAGGTAATTTTTCAAAATATTAAACTGAGGGCAATTTTTCTTTATTTCAAAAACCACTGTTTGCCTATTGACAGCATGTGATAGATTAAAAAGAAACAGAAAACAACGCAAGAGTCTAGGCACCACAATGAAAAAATCTAGCCACTTTGGTTTTCTCTCGATCATAAATTACAATAGTTGTTGATCCATAACATACCCTCTCCTCTCTCACTCTCTCAAGGTCATCTTTTTTGGGCTTCCTGCAATATGAGGTTTCACTTTCAAAGTATTCTCCTATGTAACAAATTGATTGGTTAGTAACTTTTCTAGTCCTATTGTTAACACCCCAAAAATGAAACCTTGAGGGGTTCGTCAGGCGCTCCTGCCAGTATGCTCACACTAGGTCTACAGTTTGATACACTGGATCACCTACCTGGCAAAATGCCACGAGTTTCCTGGTTCCCAGAGATTGTTGGGTTTGGTGGGGGTTCCAGTTTTGACCTCGAGTTCGTTCGGGGGTCTGAGTTACCAAAAATGAACAAGTTAAGAATGGAATATGACACTATATGTCACAGGACATGTAACTTGACAAGTCTTATTATCAGTCACTCGCTTATGTTTATAACATGATAACTCCCCAGCAATTCACGATGAAACTGCAGCATTCTCTCTTATAACTTAAGAAGAAAGAATTGAGCATATTTCAAAACAGCCCTCGAACTATATTACTAGCTTAAATTAAGCTCCCAAATATGCTTTTTATACCAAACCAAAGCTACAGTATGAGAAACTGATCAGTCTAGCCAAACAAAGGTCAGTGACAAGCCATTTCTAGAGGTAAAAGGTTACATATGAAATGTCCATAAAATACTCAATAAACACTATACAACAGAAACATATAGCTATCAACCAATCATCAATGTAAAACAAATGCAAATGGAAAAATATACATATATATTCTAAAACAACAAGTCAATACAAAAGCTAAAATTGCACTCCACTTCTTGAATCATTAAAGTTAGTTGTTGAATCATGAATCAGAAAACAGTTTAACAATTCCAAAGCTAAATTTTGCTACGTTTTAATTGCATCAAATCAAAAAACCACAAAAGACAAACGCGCTCACAGGCAATAGTGACTAAATTCCAAATTACCAATTCATAAAGAATTATAAAAACAAAAAATAAAGAATACCCATTTCACCAAATGCAATGATGATAATGATATCAAATCAATTACTAAAACCAAACATTAAGTCATGAACAGTGCCGTACTTCATTATAACGAAATCTCGAAACCAATGAAAAACATAACTCACTTGTTACTAAACCTTCAAGAGCTGTAGCTCTGAGTTTCAAGAAAGGAAGAACTGAAATACCCACAAGAAGAACAGCTCTCCTCTTATTGGAAACATTTTCATCGAAGTCATCTTGTCTCAAAGAAGCCATAGTTGAGACTCTGTTCCTCCTCTTGGTCTCTGCATTTCTTGCATACAAAAAGACTGAAGACTGAGAACATAAAGAAGAGGAGGGGAACTGAAGGGGAGACCAAGAGCTCCCCACTACAAGGTTCATGGTGTGCTTTCCTCTTCCTCTTCTAGTTTTTCTGTTTTTTGATTTCAGATAAAATGAAAGTAGTGGAAGTGTTTACCTTTTCTTTTTTTTTTTGTTTTGACTTTGAGATATCTATTCCAAATTCAGTTTGGGATTTCACGAGCTAAGTGTCTGAAATGACCGAAATAACCTTAATAATTAAAATTGTTAGAAGAAGAACTATAGGCAATTTTCATTAACCCCATATTAATTAAATATATTTTTGAATACCAAATTGTATTATAACTGGACAAGGGCCGGGCGTTACGTGGTATATTTATTCTATGTTTTTAAAATAGATTATAAACAAATTTATTCTAACAAAATAAACTAATTAGACTAAGACATAATAATTGTTAAACTATACAAATTTTAAAGTAAATATAAATTTTATATATATACAAAGTTTTGTTAAGATAAAATTAATAATTGTACTTGTATAATTATTAATATCAATTATAGATAGATGTCATTAAATTATTCATCCAACTTGAGAATATCACATGAATATTATATGGTCTAATTATATTTTCAGGATCATCACTTTGTACAATTGATATTATTTTTGTAGACATGTCTTTAATATTCGATGTTAATATTTTGTAGTGAATCGTGTATGATATTTAAGATCACCTGAATATTATCAAGATCAACTATTTATTAAAATTTATATTGACCTTTCGCAATTTCTGTAACTTATATTCATTCTCAAGTTGCGTTGCGCGGGTATGTTTATTATTTTTTTTTTACATTATTATTGGTTTTTTTTTTGTCTTTTAAATATATTTTTTTATATTGAATTGATAATTAAAAAATCAATCAATAAAATATCCACAAATTGAACTCAAAGTCTATATCGTCATGGTTCTTCTCAAATATGTCACCATTTGAAATCTACAAACAAAGTTTAAAACTTTGTCAAGAAAAGCAAAAAAAATTGCAAGATAACGCACTAGGTATTATTGATAAGTCTATAAATCAATTAGAAAAAGAGAAATTTTGTTGAAAAATATGAACTTTTAAGCAAGAGACTTGTAGAGCTAAAGGAAAAATTTGATTTTGATTGTTGAAAAGAAAAAATGAATTATTTTTATTTTATTATTTTAGAAATTAAAAAAAAATTAAGAATATTGAGAAGAGAACTCACATAGAAAGGAATAACAACTCCAACAGTATAATCTAAAGAACTTAATTGAAGCATTGAAGAAGCTATGAAGATAAAGATCATGTAACACAAATCTATTTGCTGCAATTAGAATTGACCATCACCTATAGCAAAAAAAAAACATTTAATGGTAGCATCCTAAAGAAAGACGATAATTCTAAAACTCCCAAAACCCACAAATCAAATAAAAAAATCAATAAAAATAGATATAACAAATATAATTAAAACTACGTATCAATATTTGTTTTCCTTTATCATCATTAAAATTAAATTTATTTTATGTGTATAATGATAAAATGAATGGTTCAACAGTGGGACTATAGTTATCCTAATTCATCGTATAATATATCAAATTAAAGCTTTATCTTTCTAGTTTTCAAAGATTCAAACCTCTCATCAATTAGATTTTTATTGAACAATTTATGGCTAATTTACTACTGACTGTGCATTGGAAATCAAGAAACAAGGGAAACCAAAATGTGTGTGATAATAAAAGGAATTGCTCGATAGTGGGGCTACAATTATCCAAATTAAGTATATAATATATCAATTTAAAATCTTGTCTATCTAGTTTCTAAAGATGCAAACCTCTCATCAATTGGATTTTTATTGAGCAAATTATGGTCAATTTACTACTAACTGTTCAGTGAATACCAAAATATGTGTGATAATAAAATGAATGGTTTGGAAGTGGGGCTACAGTTATCAAAATTAAGCATATAATATATCAAATTAAATCCCTATCTGTCTAGTTTCTAAAGATTTAAACTTCTCATCAATTGGATTTTTATTAAGAAAATAATGATCAATTTACTACTGACTATTTAGTGGAAACCGAAATGTATGTGATGACAAAAGAAATTGTTCAACAATACGGCTACAGTTATCCAAATTAAGTGTTTAATATATCAAATTAAATCTCTGTCTGTCTAGTTTCTAAAGATCCAAACCTCTCATCAATTGAAGTTTTATTAAGCAAGTTATGGTTAATTTACTACTGATTGTTCAATGGAAACCTAAATGTCTGTGATGATAAAATGAATTATTTACTAAAGCTACATGGTTCAGCATCAAACATCAGTTGATATTTGTTAAATAAATGAAATTAGTTATATTCAGCAACAACCCCTTTTCATGATATATGTATGTAACATAAAAAGATATCAACAAAAAAAGATAGAACAATTACAATTAAAACTACATATCAATATTTGTTTTCTTTTAAGGATGATAATAATGGTTTGACATATTATAAACGGTTTACTAAAGCTACATGGTTCAGCAACAAACATCATATGATATTTGTGATACAAATCAAATTTGTTATATCCAGCAACAACCTGTTTTCGATAAATGTATGTAACATAAAAAAATATCAACAAAAAAATATAGAAAAAATATAATTAAAACTACATATCAATATTTGTTTTTCTTTATCATCGCTAAAATTGAATTGGTTTTATGTGTGTGATGATAAAATGAATGGTTCGATAGTAGGTCTATAGTTATCCAAATTCATCGTATAATATATCAAATTAAGTCTCTATCTTTCTAGTTTTCAAAGATTTAAACCGCTCATCAATTCAATTTTTATTGAGTAAGTTATGGCCAATTTACTACTGCTTGTTAAGTGGAAATCAAGAAACAGGGGAAACCGAAATGTGTGTGATGATAAAAGGAATGGTTCGGCAGTGGGGCTACAGTTATCCAAATGAAGAGTATAATATACCAAATTAAATATCTATCTGTCTAGTTTCTAAATATTTAAACCTCTCATCAATTGGAGTTTTATTGAGCAAGTTATGGTCAATTTACTATTGACTACTCTGTAGAAACCGAAATATATGTGATGATAAAATGAATGGTTTGGCAGTGAGGCTACAGTTATCCATATTAAGCGTATAATATATCAAATTAAATCCCTATCTGTTTAGTTTTCAAAGATTCATACCTCTTATCAATTGGATTTTTATTGAGAAAGTTATTATTAATTTACTACTAATTGTTCAGTGGAAATCGAGACACAAGGGAAATCAAAATGTGTGTGATGATAAAAGGAATGGTTCGGTAATGAGGCTACAGTCATTCAAATTAAGCATATAATATATCAATTTAAAGTCTTGTCTATCTAGTTTCTAAATATGCAAACATCTCATCAATTGGATTTTTATTGAGCAAGTTATTGTTAATTTACTACTGACTATTCAATGGAAGCCGAAATGTGTGTAATGATGAAATGAATGATTCGGCAGTGGGGCTACAGTTATCCAAATTAAGCGTATAATATATCAAATTAAAGCATTGTCTGTTTAGTTTCTAAAGATTCAATCCTCCCATCAATTGGATTTTTATTAAACAAGTTATGGTCAATTTACTACTAATTGTTCAGTGGAAACCGAAATACGTATGATGATACCTAAATTTAAGGGATTATCATATTATGACTGATAATAAATATTTCAAATAACACATATTAATTGGAAAACAGAATCGACCAAAATTAATTCATTTAACATATATACTTGCATGTCAGCAGGACATAAACAATTAATCATTCATATAACAAATTAAAATACATGAATGTTTTTTACAGAAAACATATTCAACACAAATGTACTGTTTCTACTAATATAGATATGACACATACTCACAGTTCAGCTAACAATAGGATCATCCTCGATTTGATCTTAGTAAAGCACATGAACATTTCCTTGAAAACAAACATAACAAAATTTAATCGATCTTTATGTTAAGATTGTTAAGGAACAACTATTCATTCGTATAACAACTGTTACCTGAAAACAAAATCAACAAAAATTAATTAATCTTCATATTAAAATTGTTAAGGAATACACTTATCGTTCGACAAGAATAACACAATTAATCATTCAAATAGGTTGACCGAACAAAAACAATCGTTCAACCAAATAATAACTGTTAAAATAGTTAGGAAATATACTTACAATTTCTCATTAAAATAGTTAGAAGATATACTTACAGTTCAAGAGAACGAATCAAAATAACAACTCATTTGACAATGTCAATCAGAGATCCTTCATTTATTTCATGCAAATTCATGAATCTTTGACCTGTAAACAACAACAAAAACATAAATAAATAAAAAATCATCGATTAACAAAATCATGAAAAACAAACGTATTATTGACACAAATTAACATGACCTATAAACAATTAACAAAAGACTAGACGTATTGTTAACGCTAACTAACATATTACGATAATACACAACTGAACATACGCCCCTTTTATAACCCCTTATTTAGACCTTTCGAATGCCAATACAATTAAATACGGATTGAGTACGAAGAAAGGTTTGCAATGTCAATACAATGCCCTTATATAATTATTAATAAGCAGGTATGCTTTTACTACTAATGCAATGTGCCTATATAATCCAATATTTATGTCTATTTATTTAGACTTTGGAATACCAATGTAGCACAAATCCAAGGTGTCATTATGGTTAGACCTTTAAAATGTCAATGCAATCTACCTATATAATTAGTATTATTATTAATTATTAATACATATTCTATTTTTTAATAAATTAATAATTATATATGAAGCAATAAATGACAATCCAACGTGTCAAGATAGGGCAATTTGATTGGCTTATCAATTGAATGTGTCAAAATTGAGCAATTCCAGAATTTTTAAAATGTGTCACGTGTCGATCAACCTATATGATATTCAGCTATCTATAATATATATATATATATATATATATATATATATATATATATATAAGATTTTTTTCCCTATAGGGTAGTATTATCTAACACACCCAATAACATGATATTTATAAATGTAACATTATATATTACCATAGAATAGTAAAAGAATATTATAGAATAATTATATAGTATATACTAT